CATAGAACTTAACTCAAGTAAGTCCATCTTACAAAGTAATCTCAATCCCAAACCGTACAAGCAATAATGGAACACGCATGCGTACTACTAATATTTGTGTATATATTCACGTACATGTCCATGCATGTGTCATCGTACACAAAGCTAAACCAACACACGAGCATATACAATATGTAAATGCTATAGTATGAGTTAGCATGCATTTCGAAAAGAGGCGCATTATTACTTAAAAGCTATGAGTCAGCATGCATGCATCCATAGTCCGATTATATACTGAATCACCATACGCAAATAAGTGTCGACCCGACCGCGCGCCACCAGAGTATAGCCGATCGATCGACATCGGCGATCATGGGTGGCCCTTTGGCGTGTTGTTGCCGCTGTTCGAAGTATCTGATCGCGTAGCGCCTTTGGACGCCCTGAACGTCTCGGCATCCCTCCTCCGGCCGCCTCGTTCACCGAGCAACGCCTCCGTGTCGGCACCGTGGAGTCGTACCGGCCTCGCCGCCACAGCAGCAAGGGAATCCCCGGCCGACAAGATCACAAGAAATGCCACGAGGAAGGTGCACAGAGACTTGAGCAAAGCCATGATGCCCTTGATTGCAGCGAAATAGTTTTGGTCGTCGAACTCTCTCTGTATATGATCTACGCTGAGTGCTTGTGTTTGTGTGTAGCTGGCGATGAGATCGTGATGGTGCAATAGGATAGCTAAGCATGCCCCCACGCATCCACTATATATAGGACGGAGCAACCACACCTCCTGCCCTCTACACGTGTATCAGTATCGGTGTGTACAGATCGACACTCGTGGGAAATGGCGAGGGGATGGTCTTCGTCGTTACAGCAATCGGTGAGACGATCGGTGACGCGACCATTGGAGATCGCCCAGGTCCGGTGACTACGTCATGGACACACGTTCAATGGCTTTTGCTCCCATCTTCTGTTGTTCCATCATGAGTCTTTTTTACGTTCGATCATGCATGCAAGGTAGCTTTGCAAGCTGGGACACGTTGTGTTGCAGCAGCCTGGCAACTTCTTGCATTGCATGCTAGTACGTTTTCGCAGGAGACTCTTGATACTTTGGTCACTTAGTTAGTCCATGCATGCACACGTGAGGCGCGAGCATAATTGTTAATTATTTATATTGGCATCTTGGAACGGAATCTCTAGCCTTTCTGTGCTTCTCGACCGGCCAACCTAGCTCTTACGCCGATACACTGCGTTAACTGGCAACGCGCCTGCGCATACATCTCGGTACGTGCACGCTGCACTTGTGCTGCCTTACGCAGAAATGCATGAGAAAGGATAGCACCGAAGGTTTTTGACTACCTGCTAATTCTCCATCTCTGCACGCTCCTTCGCCGCCTTTTCAAAAGCTATCGAATTCGTTCATCAATGAGAATGTGAATTTCTAGGGAACGTGCGGGCTTTGTATTTTTTTTCGTCTGCAAAATCATGTTTTGTAAGGAGAATTGCAGTAATTTGCGCCCAACTCGTGCTATAAGACTGTCATAGTGGGAGTAACTTAGCAAGTAATATAGCACATTCCAAAACAAGTTTGCTTGTGTAGCATATAGTTAATGAGGAGAGAGGTGTTTGGAGTAACATAATATGTTACTACTGTAACATAACGCAACCGAAAGAAAAATGAGTCTATAATGTAATAAATCCTATCTCTATAATACTACTTGTATGTTACTTTGCACTATGAAGGCAGTAACAAAGACTAGTGTCATATGCATGACACTAGTCTAAATTACTCCCCACTATGACTAGCCTAATATCCACCCTTATAAGCAGGCTATTAAGAAAACAGGGCCCTTAGAATTCTTAACTAAATCCTGGATGAAAACTAACTCGCAAAACAGTTCTACTCCATTGATGTCTTTCTGTTCTCTACTCTTAAGTGCATTCTCAAGATTAACACAAGCAGCCAACAAACTCTTATCATCCAAAGATCGCAGCCTATCTGAAGTAGATAAGAAACCAAAAGTATTTTCATACCCCTGATATTCCTCAAATCTCCTGGTAAGTGAACTATAGCTTGATCGACCACTTGCAGAAAATAGTTGACCATAAATGACTCCTCTGCAGATTGTGAAACAATAGATGCATCATCTACACCCTCATCAAATTGTCTTCTTCTTTTGAGTTTACTCTTGGTGCGGAACTCTGGATGAATATCCATCACAAGTGGAATTTCTCTTGCAGCTTCTAGTGCTTTTGAAAATCCAGTATCTCTATACTTACTGAAAAATGAAAGCAGGCCTTGTATAGACTCAATTGCAATATCAATAAGCATGTCCTTTGATTGTAGCTGCAACCTCAGCCTCTTCTGCATTATTACCATGACCATCATCAATATTAGCTTCTGGTGTTTGATTTTCAGAATTAGTTCAGGGTCTTTTCACAACAAATTTATCAATAATTGAGCATCCTCTTATAATTTTAATTTCTTCTTACGCTTGAAAGCCCCGGAATCATAGTTTCTTCTAGAACAAGAATGCATTATTGTTTCTGTTTATGAACAAAACATGAAATAATATCAATGAATTTGAACTGATAAACTCCATGAATTATAGGCTTGTAACTTGTATAGATAGTTATAAAGAAAAAGATAGAACCTTAATTTTGGACTTGGACAAGCGACTATTGAATATCTCGAATCTGTGACAACTTCTGAACTTCAACAACTAGACAAAAAATTCTTCTAAAACAAACTGTTGTACAACTTTGCAAGTTATTTTGTATCAAAAATAGCTAGAGAAAAAGGGAGTGTAGGGGCGGCACCGCACCGGTTGGCCTTCTCTTCGGTGGCACCTCGGCAACGTGGCCGGCGGGGCGGCGTCCGGCACGGCGGGTCGGCGGTAGTTCTGCTCCTTTGGCTGGAAGCGATCACAGATGGGAAGGGAATTAGCGAAGGGATTAGGCAGGCCGTTTCGTCTATCAGTCAGATTGATCCACGAGAGATAGTGTGCATGCGCATACGGGATTGAGGCATTGAGCGAACCAAGCCCAAAAAGGAGTGCTTGTTGGCCCAAAACTATTTTTCAGACTAATACTAGTATATGAACCCTATTTGGGGCCCCTGAATTTTGGGGGCCCTGTGCGAGCGCACAGTTCGCACAGGCCCTTCAACGGCCCTGGAGCTATGTGGTGGGGTGGGGCAAAACGCCCAAAATCCAACCACCGAATCAATGGGAGGTTTGGGGAAGTCCAAGCGCCTGCTTGGTCCGCTGTCCGTTTTTTTTTTTAAGAATCAGTCCGCTGTCAGTTGAACCATATGTTTCCCACAGGCCACAGCCCATGCGTCATACTCTTTTTTTTTTACTCTACAAGGCCCGCCTGGCCCAGTCATAGCCCACAGTCCGAATTTGAGGGACATGCTTGATTGGATGGTCTCCGCTCAGCCCACTTTTCGTATCCACGTCCAAATATGTACATGTACATTTGATGAAGGCGATCCATGTTGGAGTTGCCCTAAGGGCTGCTTAGGCGGAAATGCATGAGAAAAGATTGCACCGAGGGTGTTGGCTGTTTCTTTTGCTAATTTTCCATCTTTGCGCACACTCTGTCACCGCCTCTTTTATTAATGCTACCAGATTCTTTCTCCAATGAGAAAGGATGAATGCTCAGGAAACACGGACTTTGATTCTCCTTGAGAATTGCAGCAAATTGTGCAATATTTTCCGGTTCCTATAATGAATCCGAAGAATCTTTTAAACTCAAGGTCAATGTTTCCCAACATCCCCTTGTGTGATGCTAACAATGTTTTTTTCTCAAGCGGTCCTATTAACTCATACTCCCTTCGTCCGGAAATACTTGTCATCAAAATGAATAAAAGGGAATGTATCTATACGTATTTTAGTTTTAGATAAATCACTTCTTGTCCATTTTGATGACATGTATTTCCGAATGGAGGGAGTATAAATTAAGGAACCAGAGAAGGTGATGTGGAAGAAACCTCCAGTTAACTCGTATAAAAAGAAGTCGATACTGCTTATTTTGATAATGGCTCGGGCTCAGCAGCTGCAATGCTCAGATAGCAGGAGCGAAGCTCTTGCTGGGGCGTCATGGCTACTATCCCATCTCCATGACGCAACAACCGCAGAGGCGATTGCAATTCGGCAAGGTTTGGAACTGGTGGAAGGCCTTGGCTGTCAACCGGTGATCGTTGAATCAGATTCACTGGAAGTTGCCCAAGCTTGCAATGGTGTGATTGAAATTCGGAGCCCGTACACGCTATATTGGCTGATTGATTTCAAAAGGTCTTCCACATAAGTGTTGTATCTTTTGCTCATTGTCCAAATTATAGCTAGACATAGTTTTGATTTGATTTCAACTTTTTGTTTGGGATGGTGAGATCGTCCCAGTATTTTGCTTCAGGACATTATAGATGATGTAACATTGATTTGAGTTATTAAAGTGCGCCAGGTGGCTTTCCCCTACAAAAATGTTTTTTCTCAAGGGAAAACGGCAAATAAATTTCAATAATATCAATTTTTGGAGTACCTATTCCATGTAACTCTGAGTTATTCCATCGATGTTAGACCTGAAACCGGAGTACCCTTTTGTGTATGTTATAAGCGTCCCTGAACATCAAGCAGAGCAATAAGAAAAAAAAGTATCCCCTTAAAGAAAACAATAAATTGTGACAAACTTTATCAGCAAAGGCATTTCTGCTCCGTTCAGTTCAATCCATAATATACAGTAGGAAAGTTCCCCACACAGAATACATACACAGTTAACTAAAGGGTCAAACCAGTTTTTTTTTGTACAAAAACAAAAGAAACTTTGAACATTCTGATCTACTACCACCCCACCCTAAGCTAAAGAAAAAAAACATTATGAACACAAATAAACCAGCGGAATAATCGAACACAGTATGCAGTATGCTTCGGAACACTACGATGACTTCCGCTGAACCATCGGCCGGCAATTGGAAAGCTTAACAAAGCAGTGAGACCGTCTTCTGATATTCCATCGAAGTGAAAACACTCTCAGGACTTTATGTATCGTCGACCTGAGAATGGAACACAAAGCTTGGAAATGTGGTGGTGATGTCCCTGCGACGTTGACCTGATTAGTGAATATAGAGTAGGGCAATAACAGCATATGCAATAGTAATGTTATGATACAGACTGAACTGAAGCAATGAAACAATATTCACATGCCTCCAGTATATCCCCTTTGAAGCCGGAACTACTACGCACTCCCTTGGTTGAACTTGAAACAGAAATACTACTTAACACTTCGTAGTCACACCTGCCTTGAGAAACAATACGACATACGCTAATAGTTAACTGATGTAAATGAACTTCTAATGTAGAAGAAAACAATGGGTTGGTTCAGCATACTCTCCAGCCTCCAATGTGTACAAAACTGTCGTTTAACTAATCACTGTTTCATATTCTGTTTGCTGGTTTTCACTTTATAGCTGAACAATATCATGCTTCTTTATTTCCTGACAGTGCTGCTGAAGACTCGGCTCTATGAGATAATGCACAAGTATTTTGGCAATAAAATTCAAGGACAGTTGATACTCTTATTCATTCTGAACCCCGCAAAGTTCAATCCACTTGAGCATAATAAACTGATGAAAATTAAAGAGTTAACAACAAATACATTAGCATATCTTACTTGAGATATTGTAGTGTCATGTTCTTCAGTAATGAGGGATGTCTGAGGACTAGATTGCGCCATTCTTCTTTGTCAATTTTCCCATCATGTTTTGTGTCTGCCTCCTCGAAAGTCTTATAACAAGAGGGAAATAATTTTGAGAAAATATTACAACCAATGCACTGCAATAACAAGCTTTGGCACAATGGCATAGCTCTGAAGTTCATTACCTACTCAACAGCATTAATGAAATAGGCAGTACTGATAGCTATAGCTATAGGCACATAGCCATTTGCAAACCTCCATTCGAGCATTTGATCAAATATATTTTTAACTGAGTTTAATCAAATATTGTAAGTCAAATATATGGATCAAGCTTTCTAGTTCGATCTATCAAGGTGAAGACATGCTAACAAATGATGGCCTCACTTTAGCACAACATAAACAAAATCTTGTGTTCAGAACAGAAAAGGGAATTGGTGCTTAACATGATTGAACAGAAAGATTCTACATGGTACAATGCATAGCCATAGTAGTATAGGAAATCAAGGAATTTAACCAGACCTTATCAATGATGCTCTCTATGACTTCGTCTGAAAGATTCATTCCTGATTCAGCAAGTGTAGCAACAACCATTTGCTTAACCTAATAGCCAAACAAGAAAAATCATTGGAATAAAATAAGGGAAAAGATAACAATTTTTTGCACAAAGGAGACTATATGCCACAGTTCTTTGACTTCAGAACGTATATTCTTGCTCATACACGAGCTAAAAGGAAGTAACATCAGTTCCACAATTATGCAAAAGATTGCCTCTGCTCTCTTTTTTGGGGGGAGTTCTAATTTATAAAGCTACCTATAGGAGATATACAGATCAGGGCTACAAGGCTACACTTGGTACAATATCAAGTTGAATAGAGGTAAGGGAACACAGACTTTGAATTGTCCTAACTAGGGTTCCAGAAAGTGGTGTAAGGTGGTAAATGGCCACCTACCACCACCTGTCAAACTTATCATAGTCAACAAGTACTCACAATGCAGGCTGGAGTTGGATTCATTGATGATACTTTATCGTTAAGCGATTAAGGGAGATAACTGAACATAAAAAAATATGGAATAATAGAAACAAATAATGAGATGAATGGTATCCTTGATCCTAATCAACATGTTAACTTCACATATCACATTCTGATTAGCAAAATACCTCTTGTCTTTCAATGAAACCTTGTTGCTTCAGATCATAAAGCTGGAAAGAGACTGCAAGGATTAGACCGTGTAAGATTTTTTTTCCGCTTACAACAATCAGATATAAAAGACTAAAAGAGCTTAAGGGAATTAACATATGCCAAAAAATAAAAAAATAAAAAAGTTGGATCATTACATATATCACATCAAACAAGCAGAAAGAGTTACAGCTTATTTATTTGTTTGTTTATTGTTTAAGACAGAGTGACAGACCATCCTCAGACAGCACCAAAAGGCTCAAAAATGGAATAACAGAATGTGATTTGTGCAAGTATGAACCTACTAACTCAAGGATATCATGAATCTTCTGTTTTCTTACAGTTTAGGCCTAAATCCAATCCATTCACATCCACACAAAATCAAATACATAAACACATGTCAGAGGATCATGCAAACAAGAGGGCTGACTTGATGTGTGCATATTATACAAGCTTGGGCGTTACAAGAATTCTTAAAGTTATTATCATGGTAAATATGATAGATTTGTTGGTACATATTTAAAAGTTAAGCTAATCTACTGTCAATTTAAAAGTTAACCTAACTATGCCAACAAGCAGAAACTTTTCACTAATCTACTGCCATATTTAAAAGTTAAGCTAACTATGCAAATGTCATGATTCTCTGAACTTACAGTCAATTTTCTCATCAGGAGCGGCACTTGGATGAAATACTGATAACGCACGGGCAAATTCTTCAAATCCTAGAATTCCGTTGTGTTTTGTGTCAAACAAATCAAAGACCTAGAAGAAATAGGAAAATGTTATGTATCTCTATATATTGAAAGAAATCATGTTATGTATCAAGTATCAACATCATTCCCACTTCACTGTTTCACCTATGCACACAAATTTACTAAAAGGATATAATACAGGTTTAAGTTATAATTGCAATGCCTGACTAAAGGGTGTATATAAGGGGTAGCGAGATGCCAATGGCATGTGTTGCCACTGTGATCAGCTTTTGTGAAGGACTTTTTTCATAAGAAACTGTTAGGATGTGGAGTGTTATGGTCTTAGTATAAATGATCATAACTTTCAATTAAAGAGATAACTACCCTTCCAGTCCTAGCTAGCAAAGCTGGTGCAATTCTATTGACAATTAAGTGTCCCCAGAAAGTGGTGAGTACATTTGCTTCCAAGCTTTTTTAAATCATCTGTTTCTTATTACATATTAACCATACATGTACTTGAGCACCCAAAAATCCTGCACGATTCTACAATTAGGCAGACGCCCTTTGCCATCTATAGCTCATGATTCCTACAGAATGTTAAACAGTGCTTCTTTCTCTCCAAGGTCCAAATAATATGCCCAAAAGGGGAGTGAGAGTGACTCCACAGTAATGACATTAGAATTGTACCAAAAAGAAGAGAAAACAACAGAGAGGCATTTTCACTGTACAGACAGCAAATTCGTGTTCACATGTGTGTAATGTGGGCTTACACGATCAGCAAACAAACTCTCCTTCTTACTGGTCTTGAAAAGCGCCAACTGAAACTCCTCCTGCACCATGTCGACGCACAAGAATCACAATTCGGGTTATTCATCACTCATCATATATACTACATTAATTTTACTTCCGACGAAATGGGTGTTGATCCACTAACCTTGTTGATCAGCCCGTCATCTATCACAGCACTGCTGATCTTCTTGAACAGCTCGTACAGCGCTTCGACCTCACTGACGCTAACTGCACGCAAATCACATTACACATCAGAGGATAAACAGAACACAGTGAATCACGGCTTGGGCTATTCTTAGACGCTATTAATAGCAAAGAGAGAGCTGGTGGCGTGGACATACACACGGTCTCCCTGGCGAGGACTTCGGGATCCTCCAGGCCCTTGGGCTGCTTGAGGTCGATGTCGCAACACTTGAGGTTGAGGAGCACCGCGCACAGGTGCCTCACCCCCTCCAGGCAGTGCAACATGGTGGCACCACTGTGCGCCGCAACCGTCCGTCAACGCCCGTCTCTCTCTCCAGGGTTGGCGCCGCGCAATCCGCAGGACTAGCCGCAAATCGGGACCCCGCGGGCGGAGGACCGGATTTGGCCGAACGAGCCGAGTGGGCACGCGGGGGGCGGCGTGGCTGGAGGATCGCGGCAGGGTTTCCCGATGCGGCGCGGAGCAGAGGGGCGGCCGGAGGGGGTCGCCGCTGGGTTCCTGTCGACGCCGTCGCCGTCGATGCCGCAGTCGTCGGCTGGTTGTACGATTGGTATGGGCTGGAACGGATTGGATCGAGGATTTCTCTTACTATTTATTTATTTTCTTTTTTGCGTGTGCGTGTTTCCGTTGTTGCGTTTGCGATTTTGAATTTCCCTTTCGGCGAGTCGTGATAAGCTAGGTCGGCGCAATCCCCTCCCTTGCTATTCGATCCAAGGGAGGACGTGCGGCCACGTTGTGTTTACAGGTTCATGCACACCAGCAAGTTTCTCATTTTATTTTGCGATATACACCAGCAAGTTGCGAGTGCTACGGCACAGAACCGTGGGAACAAGGTAGAATTTGGTTTACTCGAGAGCCTAGTACGTCAACTTGATTGGGGGTCTGGCCGGTTGGCACAGATAAGATTAGCGATGTGAGAAGACACGGGATGATTGGGGGACGCGCGACGATAAAGGAAGAGTGATTCGGGAAGGGTCTGTTAGGAAGGGCGTACAAGTTTTTATGTTATTTTGCGATATACACTAGCAAGTTGACAGTGCTACGCCACGGAACCATGGGAAACAAGGTACAATTTGGTTTACTCAAGAGCCGCATACACCAACTTAAATTGGGTTTGACAGTTGCACAGATGAGATAAGAGATGGGAGAAGGCACAAAATTATTGAGGGGCGAGACATGATAAAAAAAGGGTGATTCCGGAAGGGTTTATTGGACGGGTGTGCAAGTTTTTTATTTTGTGATGAAATTAGTTTACTCAAGAGCCTTGTGGGTCAATTTGGATGGGGTTTGGTAATTGGCGCGGATGAGATTAGTGATGGGAGAAGGCACGGGATGATTGAGTGATGCAAGACGATAAAATGAGAAGGATTCTAAAAGGGTCTATTGTTGTAGTGTTTATATGGGTTTTTATGGTCCCACCTCCGTGGGTTGAGAAAAGAAAGACTACAAAAGAATAGTGAACATATTAAGATCAACTCTCATAACTAGAATATAAATATGTGTGCAATTTACTTGTAATGAAACAATAACTACATGTTCACATTTATGAAAAAGAGAGATATCAAGTAGCGTATCTGAATATTTTGAACTGGATAATTCATAATGATGCATAAATACAAGAACACCATGTGTTGCAAGTAGATACACTAACTCTTCTCATAATTTTTTTTGGCGAAAAGACTCTTCGCACACTTAACACTCTTGTTATGCTTTGTTGAGACAATCTAATTTGCCACAACGAAACAATCAATTCTTCGTGTCTCATCTTGTATATTACAGACAAGTAAGCCGTGGTAGCCAAACCGCTATTTTTTGGAAGAAAAAACACTTCACTTTATTTTTCATGATATTTAACCCCATGACCCACCCCCACCCCCACTGCATGAGGTCTGGGAATATATTGATTAGACAATGTTGATCCATTCAACATCTATCAACTGCAATATTCATCTTTATTGGAAGAGAGTCTTGAATTTAAGCAACAAAAGCTAGTGAGCCCCTTCTATTCTAATCTCTATCAATCTTACAAATTCTAACTTCCCTAGTTTTGTTTGGGTGTGCTCTAATATCGACAACTCATGAAGCATATATGAACATGACTTTCTTCTATGGGAATCATGGACAAGACCTCCCTGCCATCCATCAAGAGCATAATTGGCTTTAGTGACCATTGGAGGGCCGGATGAATCCCTTTTCGCGAGCTACTAACTACATTTCAAGAGCATCAGGACAACTACGCAACCATCTAATAAGTTGTTATATTATCATTTTCATTATTATCCTGCAAGATCATACCTGCTCTTATAGTATTGTCAACATGTTATATGAGCTATAGGTATTTAGTTTCAACCAATCTTCAAAGTGGTGGTTCCCAAGTGCGAGCCAGCTCCATCACTAATTGTTTGCCGCTATGTTCCATTGGCTTCTTGCACCACACTAATAGTAGTTGATTAACTACTTCCCTTTTTTTAGGTTCGATTGTGGTAAATTGCAATATGAGAATTAAGGAATCAACCTACCATGTCAACAATCACTAATCACTCATATCCTCCATTGATAGAGGCAAGTTTCACATGTGTAATTTTATTATGTACATACTAGATTTTTCCTAGAAATCTAGTAGAATGGTGGACATAATTCAGTTGCGCCAACGGGAGGAATGGTCATTCTAGATCTTCAAGTTGTACCATGTGCATTGTAAATTTCCCCCTATAGCCTAAACTTTTGCTTAGCTTGCCATGTATAATTTGGAACTTCCTTTTGAGCATTCTCTCCTCGAGTGTTGGCAGGCCCAAATACTTAGCTTCAAATTCTAGCTTCTCAACTTGCAAAATTTCTCGTATTCTCGTCTAACCTCATTTGTTAATAACTCACAAAAGCATATGGAACATTTTCTTGGATTTATAAGCTGGTGATTTTGCCGATTCATATGTATCCAAATTTTATTCACAACAAGAGTTTCTTGCTTTGGTTTGGAAGAATAAAATGTTGTATGTAAAGTGTATATGTCAATATGTGAAATCCTCGACACTCGCCCGCACACCTACATCAACACAATCTGTTGTGAATTTACCGCATCATGCAACATGGGGGGTGAACCATCAACAACAAAGAGAAAAAGGAATGGTGACAAAAGATCACCTAGGCACAGTCCACGAGATGTGGAAAATGAATAAGATGACTCCATTAAATCTAGCCGAATACGCACCATGGTTACACAAAAACATGAGAATTGGATACACAGAGTCCGAGCGTTTCGGCCTCCTTTTCAAAGAGAAAAAACTCAACTGTTGTGGAGAATCCATCATTTCCATTGCATTCCGAAGAAAACTTAGTATATCTTGCCATATGTCTCATGCTGTATTTCGATGTTTGTATTCGACCCTGGAATCGTGAATTGGTATTGTCTAGCCTCAAATACGGAAGTTTGGATGGTCACCGTCGTGGGCCTTGGAAACTTACAGTACTAGGGAAAACCTTATACGTGGAGGCTTATCAATAGCGCGGTTCTGTACAAAGTGCTACTGTTATTTACAGTAGCGCGGGGAGCTCAAACGCGCTACTGCTATTTCCTTAGCAATAGCGCAGCCCTCCCCAAAGGCGCTACGACTATGACAACCACAACTTCGCCAACAGGCTACGTATACTAGCAGCACGACCATAAGGTGTCGCGCTACTGCTAAAAAAATAGCAGTAGCGTATTTCTCAGGGACAACGCTACAACTAAGTTTGTACTATGCCACATGGCGGGCCCTGCTTAGCAAACCGCTGCTTGCAGGACCGCGCTACTGCTAACTCTTTAGCAATAGCGCCGTTTGCTGACCCGCACTACTGTTAAGGCAGAGCAGCCACATTTTCCATCCCTCTCCCCCTCCCCCTCCTCTCTCCCTTCAATTTGAATTATGTCATTCCTTGTTTTCTTCCCTACTATCCATTGCACATGTCTATCTTACAATGTTTGTATATTCAATTACTTTTCTTGTTTATCAGCCATTTGAATTGGAGGGGGTGATGGCAGTATATGTGGGAGTAAAAACACGGTCTTCAAAAAAGATCCTGCTACCTGTTGATGCAGATAGAACCACTATTGTACTTGCCCAAGAACGAGCCCCACCACACATAACACAGGCTCACGCAGATTGTACCCCTACCCAGTTGGACAGAGAACCAGCTACACCCCTTCTAACCCCAACCCCAGCAGATAGTAACCCAGTTCCAGTTGACACAACACCATCTCCACCATAGAGCACCCAAACATGAGCAGTTAGTAAGGCAATTGCAGTGCCCAAAGCACGAGGACCACCACTCTGAACCCCAAGTCAACGCTTAAAACAGAAGAAGAATTGTTCTCGGGTCAGGTTCCGTAGCTATGGTTCATACTCCTTTGCTCTTGCATCACTGTATTTACTCATACCAACTAATTTCAAATTTGAAGGATGCAATTGAAACTCCAATGGTGCAACGGGTATGTTTTAAACCTGTTTATTTAACGTGTTTGCTATTGTAACTTGCTTTATGTTGATTTCAGTTTCAATTGAATAAACAGTTATGTTCTCATGCTATGCACATTACAAGTGTTGTTATTGCTGTGTAGTTTCCCACACTTATATTCTGTCTATGCTGCTTTGTCTTAAATAGAGATGATTTGAACTGTCTCTATCTTGATTTGACAACATAAACTAGAATGATATAGACCATACAGTGACCATACTACATAGATATATGTTTGTTTCATGTTGTTATCCTATCCACCTTAATACTGAACTGGTTTACCGAAATGAGTTTCATCTACAACATGGTAAACCTATGATGTGTCTGTTTATTTCTCTTTTAGAATGCGGATAAAATATTGGAGAAGAGTACCCCGTTATGCAAATAGTAAATGAAGTAATGCAGATAAGGTTCAAGATAGTGAGACATCCCTGTTGGTCTCCAAGAAAGCTGATAAAAACTATACTGAAGACACTGAGACAACCCCAAAGTTCTGTCTTGATGTAGTGTTCGAGTTACTGGCACTACTGCTGGCACCAGCTCTTCGAATTGGCTGCCTAAATCAGTTTGGCTTCTTGAGTCTCAACTTCGAGATGAAAGACATCGATCAGATGTTCTACGGCAGCAAGCCGAAGGACTCAAGAAGTCCCTGCAGAATTCAGATGCATACTTTCTGGTGCAACAACAAGCACTGGAGGATTTAAGCGCCAAGCAAGAGAAAGTCAATAAGTTTGCTAAGCATCTTGCCAGCATTATGGGTACCTAGGATATTGTT